ATTGAGCCCAAAATTTCTGTTGCTAAGTGAGACAGTTAAGTGAATTTTGCTCCATTTTACAACTTTTCTCACCACAGTTGTTAAGTGAATCACTGCAGTTCTTAAGTTAGTAACATGGTTGTTAAGTGAATCTGACTTCCCCATTGACTTTTCTCGTCAGAAGGTTGCAAAAAATGATCACATGGCTCCAGGACACTGCAACTGTCATAAATTCGAGTCAGTTGCCAAACGTCAGAATTTTGTTCATGTGATCATAGGGATGCTACAATGATTGCAGCAGCTGCCAAAAAAGCCAATGCAATCCTAGGCTGCATTAACAGAGGGATAGAATCAAAATCATGTGACGTGTTAATACTGCTTTATGAGGCACTGGTAAGACCACTCTTGGAATACTGCATCCAATTTTGGTCACCACAATATAAAAAAGACATTGAGAGTCTGGAAACTGCAGAGAAGAGCAAAAAAGATGATTAGGGGAGTGGAGGCTAAAAACATATAAAGAACAGTTACAGGAATTGGATATGACTAGTCTAGTGAAAAGAAGGACCAGGGATGACAGGAGAGCAATGTTTCAATATTTGAGGGGCTATCACAAAGAAGAGGGGGTCAACTTATTTTCCAAAGCACCAGAGGGCAAGACAAAAAGCAATGGATGGAAACTAATCAAAGAGAGTCTAGAACTAAGACATTTTTTGATCCTGAGAATAATAAACCAGTGGAACAGCTTATCTTCAGAAGTTGTGGGTACTTCATCCCTGAAGGCTTTTAAGAAGAGACTGGACAGCCACTTGTCCAGTATTGTAATGGATCTCCTGCTTGAAAAGATGATTGGACTAGAAGACCTACAAGATCCCTTCCAACTCTGTTATTCTGATAGCAGATTCCTCTCCTTTTTGTATTGTGGTTCTAATATGAGCAATTGATCTATGCAGCAAGTATTCTGTTACACGAATGATCTAACCTGCCTTCCACCTATGTTTTTGTAAAAGTTTGTTTTAATACTCACTTGGTGTTATTGTTTTTAATTCCGTAGCTGATGAAACATATTTAAGGATTGATTTTATTGTAGCAGTAGCCGAATCTGTAAACAGCTAGATAGTTAACTTCCGCTATCATCTCAAGAACCTTTTTCATAGCCATGTCAAACCTCTTTGGCAACCTCTGTGACCCTTGCTGAAAATATTTCTTTATCAAGGGTTGCAATATATTAACATAAGGAAGTATCTACAGTATTATTCTGTTTATCATGGTTTCTTAGACCAAGAAGCCAAAGTTTCAGCCCCAGCCTTATTTTTTTAGGCATTACAATGTGGCATATTTCAATTATTTAATTAATTAATATGTCAAAATATAATACGTGTACATTTCTCTCCAGAGTTTCATGGCAGTGAACATAGCTTTCCTTCCTCTATTTTTAGCAATAGCAACACTGTGAAAATAGGTAGAGCTGCAAGGAAGCAACTTACTAAGACACCCTATGAGATTCCATCACTAAGGGTAGATGTGACCACAATTTATTTTTCATTTTTAAGGACCAATACATTGTGATAACATTCTTTGTCACTGACAAACTTGCTTGCCATTTCCTTTCAAATTTTATTTTCAGATTTAATGCTCAAAATCATATTTCAGAAACAATATAAACTCTTTGAGTTTTAACGTTGTGAAAATTGGTAGAGGTATACTGGTAATCCTCGACACAATAGTTCATTTAGTGATTGTTTGAAGTTACAATCGTACTGAAAAAAAAGTAACTTATGACTATTTTTCACACGACCATTGAAATTTTTCTGACACATTTTCTGGCATGGAGGATGTAGATAAATATCTATGATAAATGTCTATGACTGAGAATCTCCATAGATATTTATTTATTTCCTCATGTCAGAAAAACCTTGACGAGTTTGGTTCCTGGGAACTATAGGGACACAAGGAACAGTACACAAAAAGCGATTTATTTCTGATTTTTTCAGGAATATTTTTAACCTTCCCAGTCTGGTCCACAGTCATGGAATTCCCTAGAGCAGGGCTGTCAAACTTGCGGCCCACAGGCTGGATGCGTCATGCGCTGGCCACGCCCACATCCAGTTTAGCAAAGGGGGGAACATCTCAATACGTTATGCGATGATGCCATGACCTTGCGAGTTTGACTCCCCTGCCCTAGAGCAGTGTCCCTCAACCTTTTCAACTATAAGATGTGGGAACTCCAATTCCCAGAATTCCATGGCTGACTGGGGGATTCTGGGACTTGAAGACCACAGATCTTAAAAGTTGTTAAAGTTGAGAAACACTGCCCTAGAGGTCTGTCATCCAAATACTAATCCCAGTCCAACTCTGCTTAACTTTGAAAGCCAGGTGAAGTTGCCTATTGCTGCCACCTGCTGAAAAAACTATAATTATTATAAAAATAACTATATTTTTGAATGCAAGATGCTAAACATGATTTTTAGCAAATGTATATGCAATACATGCATTTCTAAATAAACCATTTTGGAGCTGTAAAAATTGTATGTGGATTTTCCGCCATGCCTGATGTATATGCATATGTTGCTGTTGTTTGTTTATTTTGGTCATAGTGATGTTACTGTTACTGCACTAATCCCTGGATCCAGATTCTTCCCCTGCCCTCTTGCCTACCTTCAAAAAGTTTGTTCTCTCCCCAAGATTTAGCTGAGGTTGTTTGGGCACATCCCTTTAAGATGGAGTGATGCAATGATAGGTTCTGTCATTTTTTTTTTGTTCCTTTCCTATCCTTGTTGTACTTTTATATAATATTTTGTTTTATTCAAATGTTGTCTTTTAATATTGTGAAACCACCCAACCTGATTTGGAAATTTCACGAATAAGTACACATCCTTAAACACACATAAATATAAACACAGAGATATACGGAGCACAGGCATGGTTTATACAGGTAGTCCTTGACTTACAACTACAATTGAGCCCAAATTTTATGTTGTTAAGCAAGGCAGTTGATAAGTTAGTTTTGCCCCATTTTATTGGCTTTCCTGCCACAGTCATTAAGTGAATCACAATAGTTGTTAAGNCCTTGGGCCAATCACTATAAGGACAGTGGCCAGGAGTCAACAATGACTTAAAAGGCCCCCCCCCCCAAAAAAGTATTTAACTATTTCAAATAATTATGTGATTTGAAAATTTTTGCTGTCACAATTATCCTAAGTGTGTGGTTGCTATTTTATTGCTACAGTAAATTGATTTTTTAGACGATAAGTCAGAAAACCTAGGTATGATCAAGCCAAAGGGTAATTTGTTTAACTGCATTTTACCTTTCACAAACTGAATGTGTTTAGTATGCCTGCTCCTCACATATATAATGATTTATCTTTGTACCGCATTAAAAGGTAAAAACAATTTTAGAAGTTCCAAAGACCACAACTTGTCCTTTCAGAAAGATGAAGTAGTCTCTGGAGTTGCATCTTTGTGGTAAAGGGTAATTCCTGCTTTCAAATAATAGCTATTTGGAAGTGATGCAATATTTTTCTAAAGGCCTTTTTCAAAGCAGTTTCCAAAAATGTTATGCATGCACTAAATATCATTCTAGAACAATATAGCATCAATTGTTCTGCTTCCCCCCACCCCCCAAACCCCCAGAGAATTCAAAAGTATTATAGGAAACCACAAACAGAACATTTAATAGTGAGTCTAAACCAGTTTAATAACTCATGAAGTTAGATTCTACAACTTCTATTATATACGTATATTAACTATTAAAATATCTAAGCAAACTTTTGGAACACAAAAAGAATGTAACATAAAAATATAGGGCAGTCAACACAAATTAAGTTAAAGCAAAGCTTGAATAATGCTGTGGAAGGATTTTCAAATTATGTAATCCAATTTTGGGGGAGGACTGGTGTTAAAGCTCTGAAAATAATTGCATAGGGAAATGCCTATACTGGAAGATTGTTCCAAATAGCCAAATGTTTTCCATTATTAACTTTTAAAGCCATAAACCGCTTAGGATTGATTATAAGAGGGATCACCTCCGCCATAATCAAACCGCTTGGGCACTAATCTCCAGGTGTAGCCTTCTAAAGTTCCTCTACTCCAAAGCTTATTTATCTAGCATGGTCAAGAAAGCCCTTTTCTGCATTGATTCCAATCTGGGAAATGTACTTTCTCAGAAGCTATGTTTGACATTCAATCTTCTTTAGGAACAGCTGGCCTTTAAACACAATTGTTTATGATTTAATCTATGTTTATGCATGAGTATGTGATTACACATACCACACATACACATGGATGCATTCGTTTACATTGTTTTAACTACAAGTTGCCTTGAATGTTCTTTCAGACAGAAAGGAAAAATATAAATCAAATACATTTATAATATTAAACATTCATAGATTTCCCGCCTAATGTATTAATTATATACACAACTGAACATTCACAAAGGAGTCCATCTAACTGCTGAGCAGTATTTGGGAAAGACAGTACAACTTTTGAAGTGTTCCTGGACATACTCTGGGCACAGTGGTGCTATGAACTAGTTTTCCTAAATTTAAAACTGTTTATAAAAGAAATTCTGTTGCAATGATTGTTTTAGGCACGTTCAAAATTAAAAATAAAGCCTGAATCAAAAGGTTATAGCATCTATGGTGTAACTGCAGTTCATGGGATAGTCTCACCTAAAAATCTTCCAAGAGTTTCTCATCTCTCAAATGGATAATTCAAAAAAAATTATCCATTTTTTTTTACATTTTAAATCTGAAATGCTACATATTGCACAGGCTAATAGAAAATAGACTAGCGTTAACAGTTTAGAATCAGAAATGGGTATGGGAACATGCCGGAAATAACAAGGTATTTTGGACACATGGAAATATTATCCTATCCTACAACATGTATTTCTCCTATCTGAGCCAATTCCAAATAAGACTTTCAGCTCAAACCTAGAACCTTATATATTTATTCCTAGCTAAACATGATTCAAATATTGCTTCAGACTGAAACACCGAAAGTATTTAATTCAATCCTACCACATTTAGGAGGCATTTAAGATGATGTTGCCTTGAGGAGTGCATAGCAGTATTTATGCATTCAAGTCAACAACTTCATGTGAAATTTTAATCTCCTGCAAGAAAATAAACAGATACACATTAATTAAATCCAAATTTGTCCAACCCTAAGTAAATAATCCAGAAATTAACTTTTTGATTAACAGAGAATTGGAAAAAAAACATTTTCTCAATGAAATGTTAAATTTAAAACTTTCATTTAATTAGCAGGAAACTTATTAGAAAAGATAAAACTACTAATTTAAAAAACCAAGATGTATTCTATACTGCAATGGACAAAGTTTTTCCCTCCCTGTAATATTTCTGTGCCACAGCTCCAGGAATAGTCCAATATAGTAAAAAAATCCATTTTGCAACTCATAGCATGTGAATTATTTTTAAAAACTCATCACTCTCAAACTACTTAGCAAGGGGTAAGTTTGCAGTATGACGACTACATACAGTGCAAAGTTCATTTAAGAAGCAATAGCAAACATGTAAAAACAAGAAAAGTGACAAGATATAATCCTGTTGAAAAATAATATATGGATTCTTGAAAAACAGAAGTTTTAGGTAAATTGGGATTTACATAAAATTATTTAAAATTCTACATGTCATAATGCCTATAAAATATATTCCTATATTTTTAAATATTTTACAGTTTCTAAAAAAATCTATCAATATCACTGGTTCCTTACAGATTATGAAAGGGTTATAATATATCGTAGTGTAGAACATTATTTCTCAACATTATTTGGCAATTTTAAGATGTGTACATATTAACTCCCAGGATTCTGGGAATTGAAGGCAATACACCTTAAAACTGCTACAGTTGAGAAACACTGGTATAGAAAATAGTCGCTTTAAAAAAAAACATATCTACGTACCAGAGAGAATATGCTCTCTTATGAAGTTTTGAACAGTTAAACTCCCTTATGATACACAGTTCAAAATGCTGAAAACAAGGGCCCTCCCTGAATTAACCTCTATAAATGCGATGTAAATATTTGTTTGCTTTTGCTAAACATTTACAAAAATCTCTTACCAAAAAGAGTAATAGGTAGAATAAATCTGATAACAGTTCTATTCCATTTCCAGGGATTACAGATTTATTTTATTCATGCACCTAAAGATTCTGAAAAGATATTCTGCATAAACCTAGTGCTTTCCAGAAGCATACCATGTATGATGAATCATTATTGCAACATCACTTTATTCAAGATGAATAATATAATCTTCATTTATTATGCAAGATCAAAATTAAAATGAAAACACCTTCATTCTATCACCTTTTAAAAAGATACGCATTGATATTTTAAGTTTATTTTAAGTTTATTGTTACATTAAAAAATTACACATTTTCTTTCTTTTTCAAAGCATTAATATAATCTTGGTAACTAGAGGCAATTTGAGAAGCAAAAGTGTTGGTAAGAGAGTCAACAAATAATTGTCAGCTTTGGGATAAAACCAGCAGAGACAGATTCTGAAATGTCTACTTTAAAAGTCACAATGTTGTTTATTTTAAAATTACTGCTCCTTGTTCAAAAATCTTTCCCTCATTTCTACTTCAAATATCCCTCAGCTTTAGTGCAACAGATATGCTCTGCATATTTCATCAATTAACACTGCCCTTATATGAGTAATAGTTCTCATTACTTATGTAAATGTGTCATTGTGCTATATAACCCACCCTCCATATAAATATGGGGGATATCATATGTGTTCTTGACACAGAAAAATAGGAGTATCTACTCAAGAAAACAGATCTCTGGGATTGTTGATGTGACTACTAGGTGCAACTGCAGACATGGATTTAATGGTAGCAGCTTTGCGTTTCATTTCCACAGAATCAGAAAAATATTATAGTCAGCATTTTCTGATGACTATGCAGCCAACATGCATATATGTTTTAATGTTCCTAACATAGGCACATAAATAAAAGATATGTTCTCACATTACTTTTGCAAGGACTATATCATTTCTGCAATTTCTTTTGAATTATCTACACTCTAATCAAACAGTGAATACTAAGAATGGTTAAGACCTAGAGCACACCTGATCTTCCTATCTCAATTTACAAGTCCTAACCCTCTACCAAATTTATTTCTTTTTTAATGTTGGTAGCTGAGAATTACAAAGCCACTCTGAACAATATATTAATATTTAGTATATTAAACACCTGTCTAGAAAGAAAAAAGAGAAATACTTTGATGGGAAATTTCTATGGTTTCAATTATTACATATTAATGGAAAGCTCTATGATAAAAAGAGCATTAGATTAGTGAGTTCTGAGATTATACAACTATACACACTTTTGTGCAAGTATGTTTTCAAGCATAATGGGATTTAGGAATGGGACATCTGAGTAATATAATATACAAAACAGTTTTGTATACTTTAGAAGAATGCCAATGCAAGAAGAAATATTAGACTGCACCTTTCATATCTTTCACAACAACCCAGGTCCCAAGCAAAAGTTTCAGGTGAGACTGATGAAATATAAGAGAAGGAAAGATTGAACTGCAATCCAATGTTCCTTTTCTTAAAAGCAAGCTTTGCTAAAAGCAACATGACCTACTTCTCAATAAAAAAAAGTTGGGCAACCAGATTGATCAAACAACAGGCTTTCACATCATTATGAGATACTGCCCCTTCAATGATATTTTACACTTTTTCTTCAGCTTTCACTTTTCACCCTCCCTCCAAAACAAACCCCTGCAGCCATTTTTTGTGTGGAAGGAAAACAAAACAAAAACAAAAAACAACATGCAGGGCTTTGCCCATAAACCAGGCAGCCTGGATTTTTGGCCCCTTGGGAGGAAGACAATCACAAGCAGGACAGTTTTCAATGAAAGGAAAGGCCCATCCATCCCAAGTCCTTCGTTTCTCCCAGTAGCCAAACTGGGAGACCTGTGGGGGGAAAAACATGTCCAAGAAGGTAAATGCATGAGCATACGCCCCCTCACTTCCTCTAGTCACTGGAGGCTGCTATTTTGAATTTTGGGCGACCTTACAACATGGCTAGGAGCAAACCCCCCAAACTTTAATCATAAGACTGTCTACCTCACCCCATTCCTAAGAGGTCTGTAAGGGGCGTGCATCGTCCCTGTCCTATTTGTTTCTTTTTATTCCTATCCATTCCATGTATCCAAAATCATGTTTATACTTATATATATTATTTAATACATGCTTGACAAAATAAATAAATAAAATAAACATAAATAATTTTAATTGGAGGGAGGGGGAGAGACAAGTTTTAAGCTTTCCTGGCTCCCTTCTTCGCCCACAGCCCTGCATTCCAACGGGGCCTGCAAAATTTTTAGGCAAGGGGCTCTTTCCTTCCCCTCTGAAATCAAAAGGGGGGAAGGAGTGGAGCTGCCTGAAATCCTGGGCTCGACCTGCCCTCTGCCCAGAAGGCCTCCCCGCCGGGCGGAAAGGAGGGGAGCACCCGGCGATGAGCTGTCCCCGAACTGCCCCTCCGAACCCGCTAGAAGGAGGAGAGACGCCCCGCCGAGCCGTCCTCCCAAACGGCCTCTCCAGCTCCACCCGCGCCTCCTTCCCTCGCAGACCGCGGCCTGCTCTCCTCTCCGCGCTGGGAACACCCCTCCCGGGCTGGACTCACCGTGGCCGCTACGCGTCCCTCCCTTTTCTCAGGAGTGACCGCGGCGAGGTTGCTTTCCGGGCCAGGCTTAGAAATGCGGCAGGGCGGGCGGGAAATAGGCCCCAGAAGCGCCGGCTCGGCGCGTATAACGCGCAAGCGCCCTTGCCCGTTCGCGGAGGGCCCCGATAGGACGGGAGGCGCTGCGCGGGGCAGGCCGACCTTCCTAGCTCGCCAGAGGGAGAGGAGGCGGCATGGGGCGCCGTCTCTCTCCGCTTCTACCGGGGCAATTCTCGGTGGTTCTGGCCGCGGGGCTCGCTCGGCGAGGATCTCGGGCGCCGCCTGGGTTCCGCTGAGGGCCGGGCAGCCCCAGCGAGCCCCCAAGCCGGCCTTCGGGAAGCCAGCTCTTGCCCAACCGGACTGCCCTTCCAATCGCCCAGTGCCGGTCCAGAGAAGCAGCCAGCTGGCTCTTCGCTGCCCTCTAGGGTTTATCCGGTTCGTGGCCGTGCGCCGGATTTTACCGGATTATCCCAGTGGGGGACGAACTGTCATTCGGTCCGCTGGTCTCGCCCACCCCGCTACGGAGGTGGCTTGTGTGGAGGGAACACTCCGGCCTCCGTCTGCCTGGAATCTGCACTGTATATCGGATATTAATACAATTGAGAGAGTCGAGAGGTATTTCACGAG